GAACAATTTCTTTCATTAAGGAATTTAATTTTGACATAATATAAATCAAGAATGCTAAAACTATCCGTTTTGTTGCTGGTTGGCAAATGGTTAAGTTTTCCTAGAGACTTTCTACACCAGAAATTCACGCAGTTGTTGTCTTTCTCTGCGATTTGGCATCGTCGTGAAATGTAAAATGTTTTCCAGCTTTGTACTTTATAACTTCTAAAGCTATGGCAGTAGCGAATTGTGACGCTCAGTAATAAAATGTGGAAATCAACGCTTTAATATTAAGAAGGGCTGGGTAAGTAATTAACTTGTTCTGTTTTTTAGCCTTTCTAAAATCGTTGCTTGCAGATCAATAGCCGGTTTTGTTTATGGCTCGTGGTCCGGATGCCTTTTTCTATGGGTTTACCGGTATAATAAACCATAGGTTTTTGACCAATCAGATCACGCGTACTATCTCAGTTATTTTATAAATAATTGTAAACAATATGGATTAACTAATAAAATGAATGAATGAATGTATAAGTACACTTAATAGACAAGAAACTGTTATGTGTCGCTTTGAAGAAATTTATTCATAAATGTGAAGTTCAGCGTTGCATATTAAGAAAATATATCAGTACTGTTTTCCTCGAATAAGGGCCGCGACGCTCATTTACTTTTTTCTCCCAATGGTGGTGCTTATTTGAGGGCGGCCCTTATGCGTGTAAATATGGTAATTGGTAATGCACCGTGTTTACCAATTGCTGCGCTTGTTTTAGAGCGATGCTTATTCGCATAAATACGGTAATTGGTATCTTAAGAGTTTATTACATTTAGGGCCAAATGTTATTACATTTAGGACTTTATTCTTTATTCGATCTTGACAGTTATGCAAACCTGAGACGACATCGAGGGTTTGCATAACTGTCTCGAATTCTCCCAACCCCTCTAGTGTTTTCTAGTGTTTATATCAGGCTATTCAAACACAGGAAAAAAAGTTTTCTATTGCTTAAATATTGCTTTTTTACAAAAATACTGTTACTTTGCCGTTTACAAGCAATTTTTTTGTAAACGTTAATATTCACAGTGCATAAGCAAATGTACAGAATTTACGCGAATTAGCGCCGCGGCGCTTATTAACTTTTTTCTGCAAAAATGCGGCGCTTATTTGAGAGCGGAGCTTAATACCATAGCAATACCGCTTAGTACCTTATTTACTCGAATAAGCGCCGCGGCGCTAATTAACTCCCCCCAACGCCCCAAATGCGGCGCTTATTTGAGGGCGGGGCTTATTCGAGTAATTTCTGTAATTGGCAGCTTAAGAGTTTATTACATTTAGGGCAAATTGTTATTACATTTAGGACAAAATGTTATTACATTTAGGACTTTATTACATTTAGCACCGTTTATTACATTTAGGCCTTCAACTTTTACGGTTATCGGTTAAAATTTTGGCTCTTTTGCGACTATCGGTTAATTTTTTTCAGTTAAGGTTAACAAAAAAGTTAAAAATTAATTTCTTTTGTTTCAAATAGTTAAATATTAAATAAAGGTCTTCGGATCATCTCGGGATGAATTAACGAAATAAGCATGAAAAATTTTAACATTTG